GAGGTTCTGTTGCTGCTAAGGGACCTGGTGCCGCGGGTCCCGGAGGTGCTCGTACTGGGAGTACTGGAGCTGCTGGGCCTGCGGGTACTTCTGGAGTTGGAGTTGCTGCGGGTGTTGGCGCGGAGGCTACTGCTGTCGGTCCTGGAGGCGGTCCTGCTGGGGGTGCTACTGGTGCTGCTGGAGGTCCTGGAGCTGGAGGTGCTGCTGGTGCTGATGCTGCCGCTGGGGGTATTGGTGCTGTCCCTGCTGTGTCTGGAGTCGCCGCGCGGCCTCGGCCGTACATCGTTCCGCTCCTTCAGCAGGTTCTTGGTCTCCCGTCTTCTACTGGTCCTCCTCCTCCCTTAGAGTGTCCACAACCTGTCCCGTCGCAGTTACAGTTACAGCCGGCCTCCCCACTGCCTGCTCCGTCTCCCTACACTGGTCCTACTGGAGGTCTCGCTGAGCGTCATGAGCCTGCGTCTCGCCCTGCGTCGCCTGTCCGTACTGCTCGCACTGGTGGTCGCGGTTCGCGTCAGCGTCCTCCTCCTGTCCCTGGCACGCACCGGATGTCTCTGCGTCCGTCCACTGCTCCTCTGCGTGCCCCTTTGCCTTCTCCTCCTGAGTCTTCTCTTCCAGCCCTTCCCGACCCGGAGTCGGACTCTGTTCGTGCTGCCAGTTCTACTGTCACGCGTCTCCTTGCTACTGTCATCAGTGACCCTTCCTTTGAGTCCACTGCTGCGTCTGCCCTAGTTGCTGAGCTCGTCGAAATTTGCTGCTCGCTGTCGTCTAGACTACGCTGCTAGTCTTGTCGCTGAGTCTGAGTCTGTCTGTCCTCCGTCCGTCGGGGGTGAGTGTGCCCTTGGCACGGACGTCCTTGAGGACAGGCAGGAGGAGTTCCAGTGTCTGGCTGTTGCTTCACCTCATCTCGTGTCCGTACTGCTTACCCCTGAGGGAGACCCGGATGCACTAGACATTCCGACTCCGCGCTCTTACGCGGAGGCGATAGAGGGTCCCTACTCCTCTCAGTGGCAGGCAGCTATGGACGCAGAGATGGCTTCCTGGAAGTCCAAAGGCACCTACGTTGACGAGGTTCCCCCGCTTGGGGCGAACATCGTCAGTGGCATGTGGATTTTCAGGGTGAAGCGGCCGCCGGGTTCCCCGCCTGTCTTCAAGGCACGGTACGTGGCTCGTGGTTTCAGTCAGCGGCATGGAGTTGACTACTTTCAGACCTTCTCTCCCACCCCGAAGATGACCACTCTTCGGGTGCTGTTACACATAGCCGCTCAGCGCGACTACAAGCTTCACTCTCTTGACTTCAGCACTGCTTTCTTGCAGGGTAGCCTGTACGAGGAGATCTGGCTGCGCCGCCCACCTGGCTTCATTGGGACTTTTCCTCCTGGCACCCAGTGGAGCCTTCGGCGGCCAGTCTACGGTCTCCGCCAGGCACCGCGTGAGTGGCACGACACACTGAGGACTACACTTGCGGCTCTTGGATTTGCTCCCTCTACTGCCGACCCGTCGCTGTTTTTGCGCACCGACACTTCTTTGCCGCCGTTCTACATCCTCGTGTACGTCGACGACTTGGTCTTTGCCACAGCTGACACTGCTAGACTTGCCCACGTGAAGTCCGAGCTGTAGAAGAGACACACGTGCACAGACCTGGGTGAACTGCGCAGCTATCTTGGCTTGCAGATCACCCGGGAAAGAGCACGCCGCACCATTACCCTGACTTAGTCACACATGGTGCAGCAGGTCCTTCAGCGCTTCGGCTTCACGTACTCCTCGCCTCAGGCCACTCCTCTGCCTACTCGCCACTCGCTCTCAGCTCTGCCTTCGGATGAGTCCGTAGAGTCGAGTGGCCCGTACCCAGAGCTTGTTGGCTGCCTCATGTACCTGATGACCTGCACTCGACCTGACCTTGCATACCCTCTTACCATTCTCGCACGCTATGTTGCTCCTGGGAGACACAGACCGGAGCACATGGCTGCAGCGAAGAGGGTGTTGCGCTACTTGTGCAGTACGTCGGGCATGGGGCTTGTGCTTGGAGGGCAGAGTCCAGTGGTCCTCACTGGGCACGCAGACGCTTCTTGGGCTGACGACCAGGCTACGCAGCGGTCGTCACAGGGTTACACCTTCAGCCTTGGTTCCGGCTCTGTTTCGTGGCGGGCTACCCGCTTTTCTTCTGTTCTCGGCTCCACTTGTGAGGCTGAGATCTACGCCGGGGCCATGGCTGCACAAGAGCTTCGCTGGCTCAGCTACCTGGTGACTGACCTCGGAGAGCCGCCTCGTTCTCCTCCAGTGCTGTACGTAGACAACAAGGCCATGCTGGCTTTGTGTTGGGAGCAGCGACTGGAGCACAGAACAAAGCACATTGCTTTCCGCTACTTTCTTGCTCGTGAGCTGCAGCAGCGTGGTCAGCTGCGTCTTGCGTACGTGGCCTCTGAGGCCAACACTGCTGATATCTTCACCAAGGCACTTGCGCCTTGTGACCATCAGCGCTTCTGTACTCAGCTGGGCCTTGTGCCTACCTTGCCTCACTTGCTCACCTCTTGACCTTGCTTGTACTGTTACATATATATATACTCCTGCTCTTGCTTGTCTAGCCTTATATATATATGTAATCGTGCATGTGAACTGGCCTTGTGGCCTTGAACTTGTGCTCGGAATGTGTGGTGACTTTGTGATCCACCCTGAGCTTGCTTTGCTTTGCTTTGCTTTGCTTGACTGGTCTTGTGACCCCTTGTTCTCCCCCACTTGCCTATGGGGGTGTGTCAGAACATTGTAGCTTATGCATGTTGTGTAGGCTATAGTGGGGTAGCCCATAAGGGGTACAACCCAATTAGGGTTAGTACTTGTACCCAATTCATTCATAGTTCTTTCATTCTCGTTTCTTCTCATTTGCAACATTATGTGACTTGACCAATTACAAGGTTGCAGCACAGCGATGCTGGCAGGCTGCGCTGCAAAGGATTCCGGCTGTCTAGGTCGTGCTGGCAAGCATCCAACCTCCCACCGTGCTACCTGCCATCCAGCCTCACATCCCGTTCTGCTCCAGGCCTTCCATCCAACTGCTTGGGGTTTCATCGCGTTGCTGCCTTGTGTACCAAGAGGCAGTCAGCCATGTGTTCTCTCTTCCTGGCAAACCTCTATCGTTAGGCGAGCTCGTTAGTCCTGTTAGATGCTGCTTGGTCGAGCTGCAATCAATGGCGGACTACCCAGACGCCATTGAACAAAGTGGTGACCACGGCGATGAAGCCGATCGTCGCGCGCCTGTTGATCTGTTCGGTGCTGTCACCGGAATGGATCTGCTGTTCTCCAATTTTGCAGCAGTTGATAACCATGGAAAGGCGCCGCCCGTCGATATTCCATTTGAACCCATCGACGAGCCTCTATGTCCCTCCCCTACGAAAGACGCCAGCCTTTCTAATTCCCCCTCTCTCTCCCTTCCGCCTTATGTGGCAGGGGTCGACAAGCGGCGTGCGATCAAGGAGCTGCGTGCCTTCTGCCCCATCCTCACAGGTGCCCCGAAGAACGAGCGTAACTTCCACGCCGGCCTAACAGCAATGCTCAAGACAAGCGACTGGGCGACTAGCTACCCCAATCTGGTGCGTCTCTGGGTGGATGTCGCCGTGCTGCCGCTGAGCACAGTGGAGTGTGAGCGCGGCTTCTCACTCCAGAACGTTATCAAATCGTGGCAGCGGGGGAGCTTGAAGGACGCCCGCCTCGAAGACCTCATCACGATGTCTCTACTCGAGTACGAGCCCAACTACGATGAGGTGGTGCAGATCTGGCGGAGCTTCAAGAAGCGCCGCCCATTCGGGAATGTGGCGGCACCACCAGCAAGAGAGAGGGAGGGCAGTGGTGGTAGCAAGGGAAAGTGTCAGAGGTCCACTGGTGATCCCCGATTGATCCTAGGGAAGGGTTACAAGCTCGTTGTCCTGGGGGGTTATGGGCGCACTGACCCGCTACACAAACAAGCCCTTTTATCCCAATGGTCTAGTGGTTGGGATTCTGACATGGTATCAGAGTCAAGGTCTCGGGTTTGAATTCCGGTGTGTGCACTTCGGGCATCCCAGTGCGGGGGGGTGTCAGAGGTCCACTCGTGATCCCCGATTGATCCTAGGAAAGGGTTATATGCTCGTTGTCCTGGGGGGTTATGGGCGCACTGACCCGCTACTTAACAAGCCCTTTTATCCCAGTGGTCTAGTGGCTGGGATTATGACAGAAAGGTGGCCCTAGAGGAGGAGGAGGAGTTGGAAGAACGAGAGGCTAAGGGAAGAGATGATGATGACAGGCAAGCATCATCTGATGATGAATACTGAACTAATTTCTCCCAGACCAGACCCAGGGTCATGTCATGCTTGCTTGATGTCTTGTATTGCATAGCTAGCTAGCTAGCTAGCTAGCATAGCATAGCAACATAGGCTTTGGTTTACAACAGAGACAGATTGAAAGATTGAAGGCTGTTTGCTTCCTTCCTAGTGTTTTTAACTTAAAATAAAGCCTATTAGTATCAGGCTTTTTCTGTAGGGAACACTGATGCATCAGACTTGTTTAAAAAGTAACACTGAACTTTCAGGTTTTTTTTTTAGGCAACCCTGACGATCAGGGTCTAGGGGCAGAGGGACCCTGATACCGTTACGTGTCTAAAAGTGAATATGAGGGCCTGATTTCGTCACCTCTTGTTTTGTTTGTTGTTTTTTTTTAGCTTGCAATCCCTTAGGGTTTAGAAGTGTGTACACACAGGGGTTGGGCACCGAGGCTAAACCCTAATATTCTTCTGTACACACTGTTTTTTCCTCCATATTTCTAATAAAGAAATATGTTTGGAGTAGCGGCCCCGGGGATAAAAGAACGAGTGCCCCCTCCCCTCCATCCTCCCACTCCCCCACATCCACCCCTTCTCCCCCGCCCTAATAATAAAAAAAAGCGGCAATCTGGATAGACAATTGTTAAGCGAGATGAGCCATTTTCCCCCACATTTTCTCGCCCTTTCGCCCTCATACAGCTTCGCCTCGCCCTCATACCGCTGCCCTTCCCCCACATTTTCCCGCCTTTTCGCCCTCATTCTCGTTCCTCTGCCCGCCCAATCTCATTCTCACATTCCCCTGCCCCTCTCCCTCATTCTCATCAACCTCCCCTTCCACTACCAGCACTGCTCGTGGAAACAGGTCTGCCTGCTCTAGGGAGACGGCTGCAGGCAGAGGGTGATGAGATTGAAGAGGATTTACAGAAGCCTAAAACCCTCGCCCTCACTCTCATTTCCCTGTCCCTCGCCCTCCTTTTCACTCTCACCCCCCTGCATCTGCTCTTCCACAACACTGCTCGTGGGCACAGGTCTGCCTGCTCTAGGGCGACGGCTGCAGAGGAGGCGCGGGGCAGCAGAGGGTGATGGGTCGGCCAAGGCACTACACAACCCTAGACCCCTCTCCCTCAATCTCGTTCTCATTCTCGTTCACCTCCTCTTCCACCACCAGCACTGCTCGTGGGCACAGGTCTGCATGCGCTAGGGAGATGGAGACAAAGGCAGCGCGGGGCAGCAAGCGGCGGGGGAAGGTGGTGGTGAGAGCCGCCCGGGAGAGGGGGAAGGGGAGGAGGTCCTTTTGGGGGAGCGTGTGCAGCTGAAATGGGTCAGGGGAATGGGCGGGGAGTGGGGGGAAAAATGGGGGGAGGGGAGCAGGGGAAATGGAGGGTTGGCATTACACACAGTTCCGGCTGTCTACCCCATCTTTAAGAGTGACCTCTCCATTGCAAGTCCACATGGAGGGCAGCAGAGGAGGCGAGGGGCAGCAGGCGGCGTGGGAAGGTGGTGGCTAGAGAGGCGCGCGAGAGGGGGAAGGGAAGGAGGTCCTTTTGGGGGAGTGTGTGCTGCTGTAGCAGGTCAGGGGGTTTGGGCGGTGGGTGGGGGGAAATGGGGGGAGGGGAGCAGGGGAAACAGGTGGGGGGTTTGGTGGGGCGTGGGGAGGGGGCAGAGGAGCGGGGGAGAGCTATGGAAGGGTTGAATGAGGAGCAGGATGCAGTGTTGGTTGATTATTGAGGCCGCAAGGGAGGCACTTTTGAGAATTCTCAAAAGCTGCATCAGACAAAGTGGAGGGAGGAGGATGTTGTGTGGGAGTGTGTGGAGGTTTGAGACTTCTCGGAATACTAAAGAACAGTAGAATCCTCCGAATCCTCAGAAGCCTCAGAATCTGCATGTGCGTCGACTCAAAACACACGTTCCAGTCACCACGCACGCACCCCATCTTGTTCTAACCACCGCACACCCAGTTCTAGATGTCCCCCACCATGTCTGCTCTCTTCTCTGCCACTCCCGCCTGCACACCGTTCCCACCACCACCCTATCCTCCCTCATACACGTTCCTCACCCAGCCTGCTGCTCTGCTCCACTCCCTCCCACACATGCATATTGGCATAGGCACCACCCACACACGCACTCACCAGTTGCAGACACGTCTCTCACACGCACGCACATGTCCCGCATCTCCTACATGTATCCCACACACATTCACGCACCCTCATGCCCGCACACACATTCACGCACCCTCATGCACGCACCCAGTTATAGACGTCCCCCACAGTGTCTGCTCTCCGCCACTCCCGCCTGCACACCATCCCGTCTGGAAGCCGCACCGCCACCACCGCCCTCTCCTCGCTCGCCACGTCAGCTCCCGGCTCAGGTGGCAGCAATCGTCTGTAGTGCTCCCTGCGTTCCTGGTGGCAAGCAGAAGAAACGAATAACAACGACACAGAACAAAGGATATGTTGCCTGAGGAATCTTGGCAGTCTTCTGCTCCTTTGTCTATTTCTATCATGACGTTTGAGGCAGCTCACAACTTTTGAGGCGCCTTGAATTTTTTCTGCTCTTCTTTTCGTTGTCTACCATGAGAGAGAGCTAAAGAACTCTTCTGCTCATATTCTCTTCTGCTCATGAGTGGCATGTTCAATTCTCTAAACTGGCAATTCCTCTCACCTCCTCTTTCCGTTTCCTCTCTTCCTCTGCTCTGCTTCTCTCCTCCTCCTCCTTTCGCCTCTGCTCCTCTGCTCCTCTCTCCATTTCTTTGATCCGCTCTTGCTCCTCCGCCTCTCTCCTCCTCTTCTCCTCCTCCACTCTCCGCCTCTCCTCTATCGCCCTATCCCGTCGCAACGAGGCTGCAAAGGCTGCATCCTGAGGGAGGTGGGGAGAGGATGAGGAAAAGAAGGTGGTTCTTTGATTCGTACAATGCAAGTGCCTGCACGGATACTTATGAAATGACTTTTGAGTCGACTCAAAAGTCAGCTCGGTAGAATGCTACGGCGAACTCAATCTCCGAAATCAATCCTGTCGTGACCTCACCCTCTGTTCCACCCTTGTGCTCTTCTTGCGCTTCCCTGCTTGCCTTCTCTCCTCACATCGCATCTTCCCTTCTCTGCTCTCTGCCTTCCCCCTTTCCTCGTCCCAGGTTCCATCTCCTCCCCCTCTTCCCCTTCAGTGTCCATGCATCCCTGCCCCCTCCCGTGCCACAGCCCGGGCCTTGGCGGCTCTGGTCACGGGACCCGTCAGCTTGGGCACTGCCTTTCCTGCCACTGCGACGTTGGTCACATGCTCTCGTTGCTCCCTCCCTTTCTCGTCTGTCAATACCAGCACCCCTGATGGTCGCACTTCCTTGACCCTCCATCGCTCTGCTCCAACCGCCATGTCCAGAGTGTCACCCTTGGCCCGGCGCAAAAACACTTCCCTTCCTTCCTCTACTCCTTTGTCCTTCTGCTCCTTGCCACCCTCCTTCCTCTGCTGATACCTCTTGGCATCTCGCAGTTGAGCTACGTGCAGATTCTCCAGAGCCGCGGGCATGAGCTCCTTGAGGTATTCTGCCCTGCGGTGGGCCAGTGCTGCCCAGTCGTCTGCCCTGTCCGTGCTGATGGTGGCGGCCAATAGCTTGGGAGCATCTACAGGTAGGACTGGTTCTCTGCCATACAGCATGTAGTATGGTGAAAGATCTCGAAGCGCTGCTTGCTTGGCAAACCTGTACCCAGCTAACACCCACGGCAGCTCCTCATCCCAATCACGCTTGTGTTGCTCGCTGTACACCCTAAGGCCCTTCTTCAACGTCTGAATCAGCCTCTCTGTCAAGCCGTCTGACTGCGGATGGTAACGGGACGTCTTGCGATGTGCTATCTTCATCTCCCGAAGCAGATCCTCGAACTGTCCTTGAAATTCGGTCCCCTGGTCTGTCAATACCTCCCCACAAGCCCCAAACCGCACTATCACCTGACCACGAAATGCCACTGCGATTAGTCCGCTGTTCTTGCTTGGCAGCACCTTCGCCTCCACCCATTTGCAGGTGTGTTCCACCATCACTAAGATGTAACGTTGCCCGCGACGTGAGAGGGGCAGCTCTCCCGCTAAGTCGAGTGACCACCTGAATCCCAACCCACGGATCGGCAGTGAGTGTGAAAACAAAGAACGAGAATGAGATGACTATGAACGAAGTGAGTACAAATAGGAAACCCTAATTGGGTTGTACCCCCTATGGGATACCCCACTATAGCCTACAGAAACAAGTAAGCTATAAGTTCTGACACACCCCCATAGGCAAAGTGGGGGAGAACAAGGGGTCACAAGACCAGTCGAGCAAAGCAAAGCAAAGCTCAGGGTGGATCACAAAGTCACCACGCATTCCGAGCACAAGTTCAACGGCCACAAGGCCAGTTCACATGCAAGATCATATATAGAGATATACAAGAACAAGAGTATATATATGCGAAATTACAAGCAAGGTCAAGAGGAGAGCAAGTGAGGCAAGACAGGCACAAGACCCAACTGCGTGCAGCAACGCTGATGATCACAAGGCGCAAGTGCCTTGGTGAAGACATCAGCAGTGTTGGCCTCAGAGGCCACGTACGCAAGTCGCAGCTGTCCACGCTGCTGTAGCTCACGAGCAAGAAAGTAACGAAGAGCAATGTGCTTCGTTCTGTGCTCCAGTCGCTGCTTTCGACACAAGGCCAGCATGGCCTTGTTGTCTACGTACAGGACTGGAGGAGAACGAGGCTGCTCTCCAAGGTCGGTCAGCAGGTAGGTGAGCCAGCGTAACTCCTGTGCAGCCATAGCCCCAGCGTAGATCTCAGCCTCACAACTGGAGCCGAGAACAGAAGACGAGCGGGTAGCCCGCCACGAGACAGAGCCGGAACCAAGGCTGAAGGTGTAACCCTGTGACGACCGCTGCGTAGCCTGGTCGTCAGCCCAAGAAGCGTCTGCGTGCCCAGTGAGGACCACTGGACTGCGCCCTCCAAGCACTAGCCCCATGCCCGACGTACTGCACAAGTAGCGCAACACCCTCTTCGCTGCAGCCATGTGCTCTGGTCGGTGTCTCCCAGGATCAACAAAGCGTGCGAGAATGCTAAGAGGGTATGCGAGGTCAGGTCGTGTGCAGGTCATCAGGTACATGAGGCAGCCAACAAGCTCTGCAAACGGGCCACTCGACTCTACGGACTCATCCGAAGGCAGAGCTGAGAGCGAGTGGCGAGTAGGCAGAGGAGTGGCCTGAGGCGAGGAGTACGTGAAGCCGAAGCGCTGAAGGACCTGCTACACCATGTGTGACTGAGTCAGGGTAATGGTGCGGCGTGCTCTGTCCCGGGTGATCTGCAAGCCAAGGTAGCTGCGCAGTTCACCCAGGTCAGTGCACGTGTGTCTCTTCTGCAGCTCGGACTTCACGTAGGCGAGTCCAGCAGTGTCAGCTGTGGCAAAGACCAAGTCGTCGACGTACACGAGGATGTAGAACGGCGGCAGAGAGGTGTCGGTGCGCAGAAACAGCGACGGGTCGGCAGTGGAAGGAGCAAACCCAAGTGCCGCGAGCGTAGTCCTCAGTGTGTCGTGCCACTCACGTGGCGCCTGGCGGAGACCGTAGACTGGACGCCGGAGACTCCACTGGGTACCAGGAGGGAAAGACCCAGTGAAGCCAGGTGGGCGACGCAGCCAGATCTCCTCGTGCAGGCTGCCCTGCAAGAAAGCTGTGCTGAAGTCGAGAGAGTGCAGCTCGTAGTCACGGTGAGCAGCAACGTGTAGCAGAACCCGAAGAGTGGTCATCTTCGGGGTGGGGGAGAAGGTCTGAAAGTAGTCAACCCCCTGCCGCTGACTGAAGCCACGAGCCACGTAACGCGCCTTGATGACAGGCGGAGAACCCGGCGGCCGCTTCACCCTGAAAATCCACATGCCACTGACGATGTTCGCCCCAGGAGGGGGAACAGCGTCAACGTAGGTGCCTGTGGACTTCCAGGAAGCCATCTCTGCATCCATAGCTGCCTGCCACTGAGAGGAGTAGGGACCCTCTATCGCCTCCGCGTAAGAGCGCGGAGTCGGGATGTCTGGTGCATCCGGGTCTCCCTCAGGGGCTAGCAGTACAGACGCGAGACGAGGTGAAGCGGCGGCCAGACACTGGAACTCCTCCTGCCTGTCCTCAAGGACGTCCGTGCCAAGGGCACACTCACCCCCGACGGACAGAGGACAGGCGGACTCAGACTCAGTGACAAGACGAGCAGCGTAGTCTAGACGACAGCGCGCAGCAAAGTCGACAAGCTCAGTGACAAGGGCAGACGCAGCAGACGACTCGAAGGAGGGGTCAGTGACAGCAGTAGCCAGGAGACGCGTGACAGTAGGACTGGCAGCACGAAGGGCGTCCGACTCCGGGTCGGCAAGAGCAGGAAGAGAGGAAGCAGGAGGAGAAGGCAAAGGGGCACGCAGAGGAGCAGTGGACGGACGCAGTGACATCCGGTGCGTGCCAGGGACAGGAGGAGGACGCTGACGCGACCCGCGACCACTAGCGCGCTCAGTACGAACAGGCGACACAGGACGAGACGCAGGCTCACGACGCTCAGTAAGACCTCCAGTCGGACCAGCGTAGGGAGAAGGAGCAGGCAAAGGGGAGGCAGGCTGTAGCTGTGGCTGTGACCGGACAGGCTGCGGACCCTCTAAGGGAGGAGGAGGAGGTGTAAGACCAAGAACCTGCTGCAGGAGCGGAACGAAGTACGGTCGGGGCCGCGCGGCGACGCTAGAAACAGCAGGAACAGCACCAGCAGCCCCGGCAGGAGCACCCACTCCAGTAGCACCTCCAGCAGCACCACCAGAAGCTCCAGAACCTCCAGCCGCAGCACCAGGAGCACTGTCAGTCGGGCCGCCAACGGCAGGCTCAGCGCCAACACCCTCAGCAGGACCAGCTCCAGGAGAACTCTCAGACTCAGCAGCTCCAGCACCCACAGTACGAGCGCCGGCGGGGCGCGCAGCAGCAGTACCCTCTGCAGCCGAAGAACCACCAGCACCAGCAGCACGCCTCCAGCGCCCGGCAAACCACCCACGCAGCTCCTGTGGGGAGAGTGGCTCCCGGCGAGACGAAGCACCCCCAGGCACAGCACCTCCAGGCTCAGCACCCCTAGACACAGCACCCCCAGGCACGTCACCCCCAGGCTCAGCACCCCCAGGCTCAGCAACCCCAGGCTCAGCACCCCCAGGCTCAGCACCCCCAGGCACAGCACCCCTAGACTCGGCACCTCCAGACTCAGCACCCCCAGACTCGTCACCTCCAGGCTCAGCACCCCCAGACTCCGCACCCCCAGGCTCAGCTCCCGCAGCAGCACCAGAGTCACCAGTGACCTCGACAGGCTCGACCGCGTCTACCTGGGACACACCTGAAGGGGCAGGACCCTGAGGGGGGAGGGGGACTACCGGGGGGGGACCTGGTACC